TTTTTTATCACTTTGAATCTAAAACAACGTACATATACAGGATTAACAAAGGAAAACAGATAAAAAAAAGTGGACTTACGGTTTTCGCACAAGCTCTGCAGAATATTTTGTTGTTTTCTAATTTTAATTCTGGAAAATCCCTTATCCAGTCATCCGGCGTCGATTTTACTTTCGGCATTCTTTTAAATTTATTAGTAATATTACCAAAAAGAACTCTACATGTAACAAGGGAGAACCACGTATAACACTGTACTACGACAGATGCGTTAAGACTGATGGTTGTGAAATAAACGGTTCATTTACTTAAAAGTTTCCATTAGAAAAATTTTAAGGTAGGTAGTTGGGTACAATAATCCTTCTTTCTAGAAAATCTTCAACGGTCTTTCCGCAAAATGCCGAAAAAGAACATCTGGTTAAAAGCTTTAATTCATTATCAACGGAAGGAAGGATTTAAAGTCATAAAATCTATGGAGTATTTTTCCAATACTACAATAAAATTTTATTACCCAAACGACTGGAACCTAGTCGCAGAAAGGGTCTTGAGTAAGTGTACTTCAACGGTCAAGTCCAGGTAAAATGCATACGATACGATACGCCTAACTAACAAGTATTTGTCATCCCGAAAAAGCCAGCATTTGAACAAAATATGCATTAAAACTCATATTCGTCGAAAAAAGCATTAAATAAGCATATAAGTTTTAATATGCATAACATTGAAAAAAAAGCAAATAAGCATAAAAAAATGTGTCAAATGACTCCAAATTGTATCATAGTTACAGATATAAAAAAGTTTTGAAGTGCTTACATTTTTCACAAAAAGCATTAAACCTAGAAATCCGCTCTCTATTTATTACTATTTCAATGAAAAGAAACGGTACGCTGCGGGCCACGGTGGCCCGATCCGACCCTGCAGACCGTCGTCTTCATGGATACATTTACAACAGGGTCTAAGCAATAAATCATCCCAAATGCTAATTAGTCTTTAATCCTCATTGAAGTCACCTCCAAATAGCGATAGTCGAACTTTACATTTTATAGATAGATATTTATTGGGCCTTAAAAAATACACAATATTTTGCTACATAGGCGGAGAATTTATCAAAGCAAGTAATTTGGGTTACAAAAGGAATACAAAAAATATTCATTTTTAAACAAAGTATTTTATATCTGCTGTTAGATTTATCAATTACATATTTTGTTTCTCTTTTTTTAATAAACGTGATTCAAATTCATAAAAAAGTTTTTTTTTAATTTTTACATGCAATAAATATGTAAAAATAGGAAAATTTTCTAGAAATCTTAATTTCATTCTGAAAGCTACAAAAGTAAACTTTTTCTAAAAAAAAAAAAAAAAAATGAGTGGTTGGATGTATCTGGATATCATTAAGCTGCAGACTTAAATTTTAATACATAAATTAATTAATAATATGGGACCTGAGTATTTGAACAAAAAAATTCAAAATATGAAGGCAAACCATAGTTATAATACGAGACAAAAAGAAAATTTGTATCTAACGTCAAAAACCAAACAGTCTTCAATAAATTCATTGCTTTACAAAAACTATATAACACGTTACCAGAGAGTATAAAAAGCCAACCAACTTTAAAAAAGTTCAAGCGTCAGGTAAGGGAATTAGTAATATTAATATACAACAAATCTTTCGAGGAAATTAATAGCTATTAACTTTGTTTAACTTAATTAATATTTTTAGTAATAATTTACAATATAATTCTTTGTTTCTTTACTTTATATTTATTTAGGATACATTAATACTTTATTATTGCCTTCTTGTGTTCATTTTATGTATAGTATAGTTACTTAAACAGTATTAAGCTCCTATGGACAAATTGTAGCTTTAGCTAAATAAATACCTTATTATTATTACACCCTTAAAAACTACCCCCAAAACGGACTTGTAGACTCGGGCTTAAAAATACTCTACTCTAGTCAAAATTCGACATTGGCTAGTTTTTCAATACGACGATTATTGATGCAAAATTTCAGCCCATTCGGAAAAATTCTCAAAAATCACCCCCAAAACAGCCTTGCAGACTGGAGGTTAAAAATACTTCGATCAAAGCAAAAGTCGTTCGGAGAAAGCCTTAAAAAAACGACCTTGCAGTCTAGGGCGGGTTTAATCGTTATTTATATATCAAGGGAGCAAAGCGAAACATTTCCTCCCGCGGATTCAGTTTGAGAGCGGAGGGCCTTAAGAATCCGAGGGAGGAAATGGCACTCTGCTCAAGTGATATATATATATATATAATTTTTTCTTCGAACGAACGTTTAAAATTCATTTTTATCAAGTGTTTATCAAGTGAAAACTTGACATTTTGTTTATTTTTACTTACAGTGTTGATGAAAAATTTCATCTTTTCCTAGGCAACCCCTAAAAACTACCTCGAACAATCTTACTTAAAAAATATTCCTATCAACTCAAAACCGAATTATCGATGCCTGAGCTATTTATATACAATTTCATTTTTTTTTAACTAAACCTTAAAAACTATCGCTGAAATAACCTTGCAGACTGGGCCTTAAAAATAGTTATTATCATCACCAAATCGAAAGTCAGTGTTTGCCTGTTTATCTATACGAGAAGTGTTAATCCAAAAAAATCAGCCTTTTGTAGGCTATCCTTATCAAGTACCCTAACACAATCTTTTATACGGGAGCTTAAAAAGACTCCAATTGAGTCGAAAGTTAGCACTTCCTGATCTCTTCACACAAAAAATATCATGTTAAATTTCAGTCACCTTGAAGCAACTCATGAAAATGATTGATAGTTCACGTTCATTTGAAGTACAAGTAGTAGAAAAATTTCAGACACATAAAGGGACAATGGTAGGTGCGCACCACGGAGGTAGAATGAGAGGAGGGAAGACAGTTTGAAAAAGTGCCTGGTACCGCGCTTTTGACTAGGGCCATAAAGGGCTCGTCCAGGTCCTCCGAGAAACTAGTTGTTTCAGTGGCGTGCTCGAAAGTGTTTACCGGGTACTGGGCATTAAACACAAAAATAATTTCATAAGAAAAGTTTTATTTGAGTTTTTATGTTGATAGCAATAATTTTGTTTTTATGCCATAATTATGCAAATAATAAGATGCTTTTACTACTTATGAACCCATTTTAAACCAAACGGCACCAACCCTGATTATCAGTTTTTGACCAAATGCTTCCGATGTACTACCGCAAGGGTCATAAATGGCTCTTGCGTGAAGCTCTTTTACCGACGTTCTTTTAGCATTGGTTCAATGAAGCAGGCTCCCTCTTGTCATTCTACCTCGGTACCGTATTTTTAACCCTTACTCTACAAGGTCGTTTCGGGGGTAGTTTTAAAAGGCTCGTCCGAATGGGCTAAAATTTTGCATCAATAATCCTTGCATTAAAAAATAAAGAAGTGTCGAGCTATGACTTGTTTGGAATTTTTTGAACCGCCAGCCTGAAAGTCTATTTTGAGGGTGGTTTTTAAGGGCTTCTCCGAAATGGCCAAATTTTGCATCAATAAGAGCATGCAGAATCGTGTCAGATTACGAAAAGGAACCGTTTGGGTTAGTTTTATGCACTCTGGCGTTCGTAGATACAAGAAAATTGTTAAAATTCTTCAGAAACGTCACTTTTGAAGCGTTTTCTTGTAGTTTTAAGCCAATCAGATAGGTACCCGACGGGCTTGGAAAGAGCAACGAAACCATCAAATTTTAGCTAGAAATCGTATTTTTGTCTTGACAGGAGTACATATTTTTAATCCCTAGTCTGCAAGTCTGTTTCGGGGGTAGCTTTTAAGGATTTCTTTCAATACATTGAAATTTTGTGTCAACAATCCTTGTTTTGATAAATAAGCAAATGTCGAGTTTTGATTTGATTGGAGCATTTTTACCCCCTGTCTATAAAGTTGTTTTAAGGGTACTTTTTAAAGGTTTCTCCGAACGAGTTAAATGTTTCCATCAATAATCCACGTTTTAAAAAAAAAATTGCAAACGTAGAGTTTTGACAATATTGAAGCATTTTTAACCACCAGTGTGCAAGTCTGTTTTGGGGGTGGTTTTTGAAGGTTCCTCCAAAACGGGCTAAAATTTTGCACCAAAAATTCGGGTAATAAAAAATAAACACAAATCAACTTTCGGCTTGATCGGAGTATTTTTAGCCATCAGTCTGCAAGTCTGTTTTAAGGGTGCCTGCGAACTGGTTGAAATTTTCTATAAACAATCTTCGTACTGATAAATAAACAAATATCGAGTTTTGTCTTGATTGGAGCATTTTTAACCCTCAATCTGCGAGGCTGTTTTGGGGGTGATTTTTAAGGGTTTCTCCGAACAGTATAAATTTTTGTATCAATAATCCTGGTATTAAAAAATAGAGAAGTGTCGAGCTATGACTTGATTGGAACATTTTTAACCGCCAGTCTGCAAGTCTGTTTTGGGGGTGGTTTTTCAAGGTTCCTCCAAACGTGCTGAAATTTTGCGCCAAAAATCCTGGTATTAAAAAATCGAGTTTTAACTTAATTGGACTATTTGTTGAACCCCAGTCTGCAAGTCTCTTTTGAGGGTGGTTTTTAAGGGCTTCTCGGAAATGGCCAAATTTTTGCATCAATAATCCCCGTATTAAAAAATGAGCAAATGTGGAGTTTTGACCTGATTGCAGTATACTTAACTCACAGTCTGCAAAGCTGTTTTGGGAGTAATTTTTAACGCCGGTTTCACCGATCGGGTTGAAATTTTGCTTCAACAATCTTCGTATTGAGAAATCCGCAAATGTCGAGTTTTGACTTGATTGGCGTATTTTTAACCCTCAGTCTGCAAATCTGTTTTGAGGGTAGTTTTGAAGGGTTTCTCCGAACGGGTTGAAATTTTGCATCAACAGTCTTCGTGGATAAACAGTGGTTTGCAAATTAGACAGGCGCATATAATACAACTTAATTATGTACTTATATTTTTTAATAGATACATTTTTATCTTATTAGAAGAAATTTTAGGAGTCTGGAAAGCGAGAAAAAAGATCGCCATAATTGCATATATGTATTTATTGTTTCTGAAAGTAATTTATATTTTATGGATAGTGTAAGTACTAATATATGTATTATATTACATTACATTTTTTTTATTAAACAGTGTATTAATTTAAAAATTGTAAATATTTCTCATACTAGTATAAGCAAGCTATTATAATACAAGCTGTACAGTTTGCTGACCCTTTACGCAGTGAACACAGTATAGACATCAATTGATATCTATACTGTGGCAGTGAACGCTTACATTATGCAATAACTTAACGTTGTATATTCCACTGGGATTAAAATATAGGGAGCATCGCAAAACTTTCCAAGCAAACTGTACCTAGGCGGTGTTTTTTCTTTGATTAAAATGTGCATCAATTACTCATAACTTAAGATGTAATGATGTAATTTCTTCTCGCTTTAATTTAATCAAATGTAGACAAACTGGCTTAGCGTAATTACATAGAATTTCTTGCATTTATTCCTGCACATGGCGCTGTCTGGTGATTTCCATCATTTCCATACGATGGGATCTAATAGTCTCGTGAAGGTATTTGCCAGCCTATTTAACAAAAAATTTTCTACTTTGAAATCAAGCAGACGGGTTGGACGACTAATTATTATTTGATTACTCAATATCTTGTAATGTTTTAGTATCAGATATAAAATTTCATTGAACTGTAGCTCCATTGGCGAGGTTATAAAACAGTGCATAACAAAAAAAAAAGTCGCCATAACCGTAAGTGTTTATGCTATATATATATATATTTTTCGGTTAAATTGAGTTATGGCAATTGCCAACCATATTTTATGTAGTTTTCATTTTCAAACACTGATAAAGTGATCTCGCATGCAGATCAGAACAAATGATCTAAGATAACTGGTTTTAGTGAAACATGTCATCAAGGACTAACATTACAATCTTTTGTGCAGGATTGTGCCTTGTATCCCTAATCGCTCAGATTTCGCTAGAACGTCATGTGCAAATCTTCCCCCAGTTTAAGTCAATTCACTGTTTTTAATTCATTATCGTTGGCAGATATGCTTTTTTTAATGAAAATGCACATTTGAGTATACTTACTCTCTGTACCCGAATTCAAATTCTTTGTTGTTCACGACATTTCAATGGTCTAAGGCTAAAAATTCAACACTCTGTATACTGGTGCCTCAAAATTCATCAAAGAAGCTACATGGAGCTTATAAGTGGAGACATTGTTATACAGTAAAAGTTAAGTTTAATGATTTACGCGGAACTACTTCGAAATTTAGGGTAGTTAGTAGTAACCAGTCTTGAGCTAGCAAAATTACAATTTACATACAGTTTGTTTAAGTTTAAGACAATTGTTATAGAAGTGAGTCGATACAGGTAAAATTTTTATTGTAATCCAATTCAACTGTTTATTTTAAATTTTGCTCTCAAATTGCCTATAATACTTCATCCTTCATTCTGCCTCATTTAAAATAACTTTTTGAAGAAAACAAATTAAAACGTTATTATTTGGAGGTGACCTTCCAGAATGATAACGTCATATAATCTCCAACACAAATAATGGGACACCTGCAATGCCAACTGATATTACTTGGTAGTGTAACAGAAACTGTTAACTTAGGTTGGTTATTCTGGACATGGACAACCTTTAAAGTACTATCCAAATTATTAACTGCTGCTACAAGTTCACCAAATGGACTAAACCTAACATGGCCTCCTGCCTCAGTAAAGAGTAAATTATTATTCACAGGAATGCTGAAACAAGAAAAGTACTTTTATTACGTAGACAGAGATTGCTTGTAACTATTTAATACCATGGTTTTGATAAGTCCCAAATAAGCAATTCTCCCAGTTGTAATGATGCCACAACTTGAGAATCCGATGGCGCCCAATGTGCGTTTGATAAGGGTTTACCATAATCAAGGGACAGGATTGGGGTTTGTGTTTCCACATTGTAGAACCTAATGAGACCTATTTTCTCAGCCACCAATAATTTTGAACTGTCTTCTTTATGCCAACACACCGACACTCCTGGTGAAGTTAGTTGTAAAGTAGTAACGCATTTGAAATCTTCCGTTTCCCATAATTTCGCAGTATTATCGTCGCTGACAGACGCCAGGAAATTATTATCTGGATCAAATTTAGTGTCATTAATGTAGCTTGTGTGGTCACCGAGCACCTGTAATTTTTGTTCATGAGAAAATAGTCCTAGTACATTCTAAACACATTTACTTTGCATAAGTCTTCTCCTCTTAAATTGCTCTTAAAAACCCTTAGTTTGTGATCAGCTCCTGCAGCAGCAAATAAAATATTATTTGGTAAAATACTAATTGATGTTTCAGGTGAAACAGACAATGCACAGCATCTAGAAGGATGTACGAACTCTGCTAGTATTTCTAAATCTAGTACTTGTTCCTAAAAAATTTGGACAGATTAGAAACTGGTATTATGAAGTAAACAGTTAACAAACATCGATTTTTAAATGGCCCAACAGTACTTTGGTTTCAAAGCCTATTAAAATAAGATCTTGAGAAAGAACAAACGGAGATATCTCTATAGCTAAGATCTGTCCATATTCGGAGAAGTCTTTTTTAAATATTTTTGAATCATCCGAATGTGTTTCCATTGTAATTGTTACGTTACGCGAAATAAAAACTCCGGACCGGTACTCGACTTAACCTACAAAAGTTTGAATTGTACGGGTGACATCTGACAGTGACAGTTATAAATCGTGAATGCTAAAAATTCCCTAGATAAATACTTCCGATTAATTTAAAATCTCAAGCTATGTTCAACAACATATATTTTTTTTAAACAAAGTGCAACTATCCTTCACCTACTTTTTTGCTGAAATGGACGTTATTTTAATTAAAGAGTTGATGCTGACCAATAATGAAAAGCTGGTGAATCAACATCTTCACCATTTACAAAATTACAAATTGATGCATTAGTAGTTTTCACCACATGTTCAATGGATTTGTAAATTTTAATGAAGAAATAATTTCGGTCGATAAAAAAAAAGGGTACCTAATAGCTTATTGTAGTCATGAAATTATATGAAAAAATTATTGCTTCATCACACCATTTCCTGCATGTGCACATTTCCAAAAGAAGTATTAACAAAGTTTACGTAGTATGTACTTTTTTTTCTTGATTAAAGACGTAAATAATTTTGTTATTCGGTGCGATATTTTGGATAATATGACCAATTTATATTTCTGTTATTACAAAAATAATATAGAAAATTCAATCCTTCCTTTCAATACATATATTTGATTGTATTTCTTGTCTATTTCAATTTAGCAGCAACAATATATCAAAAACTACAACGAAGAAATATGTAAAACACTCAAATTGATGACATGAGATCTACTGGAATTAGTCTCATAAGAGTAACTCCTTTTTTTCTTTTACTATTTAATACAACTGTAATGAACAATTGGAACGACCATCTGATTGAATCACTCAAGTTGTCATTCTTCAGTCACATTCATCAGTCTATCAATTTCGCCCTACATGACCAATCATATCGTCAATCCTTTGTGAGTTTTTCAACGCACAAACAGTTTATACTTTTTCTTAATTTAGCATTATTTTTGTACATGTTACATATTAAAATAACACTGGTTGCTTGCAAAAGTTTGGAGGCTTATTTGATGGGTGGGTTGAAAAAAATAAGGATAACGAAATATAACTTTTTATTGTAAAAACGGCACAACAATAGAACAATGGAAATATTAAATACAAAGAATCGATAAAAAAATACTTTGGCTATAAAAAGTTGTCTGGTAGAGATTTTAAGTATTAGACTCATGGCACGTTTTGTACTTATTTACACTACACTAGAAACTATATTTCTGTACAATAATCACAATTTTAATCATCTGCAGTTTAATAAAACTTCACATTACACTATAGTCTTTCATGATTTTTGAGATAATGCTTGTAAGTACAATCAATATCCCTACATGAACCGTTCACCTCATATGGACACATTATACCATGCGGATCAACATTTCTATACCTAATAAATAAAAACAAATTAACAGAAATAAACTACAACATAAAAATACATCACCTCTCATAAGTGTTATAATTCAAAGGCGAGATATATTCAGGTATAGTTGACTTCATGGGAGGCCTCCGTTTAAATATCTGATCGATGTCATTCGGATCAACTATATCTATCTGGCAAATGTCCGTTTCATCACTATTACACACATCCATATCTTCGCAATCATTGTTAGTAGAACTCGTTACAAATGGCGGCGGAGCAGCATCATCATTTACATCTAGTAATTTAATCGGAGTAGATGTTACAGGTAAAGTCTTCATCTCTTTATTATTATTCTCGATCTTACTCTCTCTTTGATCTTTGTTCGCAAGTTTCCGATTCTTCGCGATCTTACCGTTCTGTATGTGTTTTTCGGCTTTCAGTTCTTGACAACTGGAAAAGAATAGTGTGCAAAAATGTCGTGGAGTGTAAGGGATGGGTTAGTTGAGGGGAACACCTCTTTGACATTTTACGCTGACAACATGTGGACATACACAATGTTATTGCAAATGGCCTCTTTTCATTTACTAACCTCTTATCGATCTTTTCTTTTTTTGAAACTAGTTCTCTGACGAGAATAGAGAATTTTTCGTGTGATTTTGCCAGATTGCTTCTTGCATCGTTCAGGTCTTGAAGGAGGGTTTTGATCCGCTGCTCTTGTTTTTTTCTTTCGTTGCTGGTTGCAGTGATTTTTCTTATGATTGGAGTCAGCACCTGATACTTGGTTCTTATCTGGAAACTTTTAACCGGGACTGCTATTGTATGGTACGATTAAGAGTGTACGATGGTACATGAGATGTGTGTACTCAAATGTGACCACACACAGGGTTTTTTTTTGGCAACATAGTCTGTACAATTATATAAGAATTAGAATAAGCTGAAATGACAATCTCACAAAAATTTGTAAAAAGAAAATAATAAATATCTATAGTTTGACATAAATTCATATTATACACACAACATATATCTGTATGTACAAAAGGTGCCCCATCACTTACAGCCAACGTCAACATGACTAATTTTTAATGCACAAATTTGAAATTTTCAGTATTAATATCACAAATAATAGCCTACAATTTATCAAAATTTAATTTTTTTAAATCAAAGATAAATGTCAAATTTATCTGTTAAAAATGTGGTTATTTTCCGTTGGTCATAAATGACAGAATACCGCATATATAAACTGGAGTTATGTTAGTGTCTTCTTGGCGGTTTACATTTTACTCATGTACTTTCGACTTACTTAACTAGTTTAAACTCCAAGAATCCTTAACCTTGGTGATTTTTTTTTCTATAATTATATTCAAATTAAACTTTAAACACTGTTGGTGCACGTTTCTTGCAAGCTTGTCAATGTATCTTCTTTGAAACAGAGACTTGCGCTTTCAATTTTCTCCTTTGTTTGAATTTGGTACAAGAAGACACGATTGACAATTTTACAAGGAATTTCGACGACAATTTGTACATGTTGACAATGCTTCTGAGGTACTGAGTTGGCAAGTTTCATTTTTTACGCAGTAGTTCACTTATTAGTGGAGTTATCGATATGCAATAAAAATGAAATTAAAAGACACGTTGAACACCTAAACGCAATGAAGTGTCGAAAGTGCTACAGTGTTGCTACTTCCAACTTTAACACATTTTTTGTAACAAAGTACTTTTATGGCTTCAGCCATCAAAAAAGCAAAATTATAGCTTTATACACCTAAAAAAGTATATTAAGTCAGGTTATGCCAACATAATTTACATTTTGATGCTACATGATTGTCTCATAGACTTTATACTGTGTGATCTTTTAAATTTCTGCTGTAGATGGTCACAACCAACTTGAGCAGAAATTAAAAAATCACACGGTATATAACTATGTCTCCAATAATTAAATGCCGTCTCACTAAAATAGACAATTCTAATTAAGTATACTTACGTTTGTAAACAATAACATGAAACAAATTAGTCTTAATATATAATTAGTTTCACGATATTTACCCATTTATGTACTATTATAATTTCTCAAATACGCTGAAGTGTAAACATCCATGTACGTAGATTATTTAAATATATTATTGCTATTTATAAATAAATCAATTTAATAAAACTCCTAAACTAAAACGCAAAATTTTACGTAGATACTTTAAAAACATTTTACCATAGGCGATATCGATCTTCCTTTGATAGATATCAGTTTCATACTTACCACACTTTGATGAGTAATTTGAAAAAAAAGTGTATTTTTTGACGATGAAGAAAAATACATTGTTTAGTGAAAAATATGTACTTTGGAACTAAAGACGACAAAAAAGGCGATTTCGCTTTGTTTTACATTTGAGCTATGCTATACTCAGTGAGTAAGTTAAGTGACAATTAAAAACTGTATTACCTAAGCAAATATGTAACAAAAAATACAGACATACACTCAGACGGTAGTTTTAAAAATACCAAGTTAGGATAGTAGTTTGAAGATCATTGGGACGCCAACGCCGTAAACCAATCAACATGTTATTAATTTCGGCCATTATCACATATCCACATCTCCATTAATTGTGATTGCGTGTTGAATTTTATCATGACACTCTTGAGTGGGCTTGAGTGACGAAAATTGGTAATTGGGACATTCAGAATACTCCACTAGAAATAATGTAATGGAAAAAGTAACAAATGCTTCATTATTACCAATGATTTCTCGAGGAAAGTATGAAATAGCCTACGATTAACTAATGTTATTATAAAGTTGTAAACTTAAATTTGGTCAGAGAAAAAGAGCAAAAGTGTAATAACTAAGATGTATTAGGGAGGAATGAAAAATCGGCTATTATTATACCAAAGTGTTAAAATTTTACAATGACAGATTTGTTTCTTTAATACTTTTATTATTTTCAGAGTTGTTATTTGCAATTTTTACAACTTTGGGCTTAAAAAGCTTTCTCCGATAATACATTTGGTAATGAATTTTGTAAAAGTTTGATTTTTTGTCTTTAGTTTTGACCTGTGTCCCCCCCCCCCCAATGGATTTTATATTATTTTTAAAAAGTACTTTAAGAAAAAACATTGTTACAAAGATCCAATGTATGTACTTTGATGTGATCTTTGTACATTTTCGGTAAGTTGATACATCACAACGAATATACCTTATTAATGATTATGACTTCAATTTAATAACTTATCAACATCACTGGATAGGTATATAACTTTAGGCTTGCAATATTATACTTATCATATTGACGAGCTAAATTTAAAGTTGAGGTATTTCACACAATTCTTGCAAAAAAAAATCTAATTTCAGGAGAAGAATTCACTTTAGACCTACCCAATTGTCAAAACAGTGGTATGTATTTTGCAAATGACAATTATTATGCAGTGGAGTAGAGGGAATATTTATTGTTTTTTTTAGAAATATAGTTAACTACTTTTTTATAACGTTAGTTGACATGAACATGCAAACAAAGAAAACCAAATGCAAGCATAACGAAAAATATAGGGAAATTATTGGAATTAATCAATGTTAACATTAAAATTAATATGCTAATGAAAGATATACTGATTGTATTATCATAACGCCAACAAAAAAATTGCTCTGGTTATCGCTTTCTTATCTACAAAAGATAACCTTCTTAAATCATATCCAGCGTTATTAAAAATAATTACTTAAAACTGTCAGGTGATAATTCCCTCATTCTCAAAGATTCATCTTTAACTAAATCATCTCAGCTTATCGCGCAAACTATGACCAATACCAAAGTCACTACTTAATCCGGCATAAAAATATTTTTTGGGCGTACAACCTACACATTTTTAACAAATTTACCTCATTAAATAAAAAATACGTAATAGACTATAACTCAAAAAGAATAAAATAAAAAACAAAACCATAATAGAAATACCTTCCATTCCCATGCATTTTCATTTCCTTCAAAGTCCTCTGCAGCGTTGTCAACTCGGTAGTAATCGCCGACCTCCGACTCTCAGATGTATCACTCGCTTTACTCGACTTTACATAACAATCTCCAAAACTACTGTCCGACTTTATCGATTCTTCATATGAAGTTTTCCTCTCAATAGGCGATGTCATAGGTTGCACAACAACTTCAATTTTTGGTGCACTTTCTTCAGTTTTAATTTCCAAGATCGCAGCTTTTTGAGCAATTTCCACCGTAACATTATTAACTTTAGGGGGTTCCGCCACATTATGTGCTTTTTTCGCAAGAGCCAACTTCTTAGCTTTTTTCTTTCTTTCAGCATTCCTCAGTCTTTTAAGCAGTTGCTGATATTCTATTTGTTGTGATTTGGGCAGAAGCTTAACAGCAGATTTCTCTAAAATTGTTTTATCTCCATTAGGAGTTGGTGGTGCGTTTTTTTTGGTTTCATTTTCAAATTTGGCTCTTTGTTCTTTTAAAAACTTTTCTACGTTAGTAGTGATGGCTTTTAAATCTGTAATTTTTTGCGGCGCACTAACTGTTATATCTGGAAGCTTATGAATGGCTGGATTACTATTAGCTACGGTCTGTGGTGCTTTTGGTTTTAATTCTTCTTCACTATCAGAATCTCCATTTACATTGATTATCAAAGGCTTGACTTGTGGTTTGGGCCTATTGACATTCTGGATCATCTTATTAGCGATAACGTGTTTATTAATCACCTTATTGTTAACTACTTGCTTAATAAGAGTATTCGTTTTAAATTTAGTAACTGGTCGTTTTGGAAGAGCTGGTACGATGGACACTGGAAGTGTTGCTGTAACTTGTTTCACTTGCATCACATTCTCATTTGGTGTTTGTTTTTTAGCGATTTTTTTCGCCAGTCCAGCTAGAAGGGAAGCCCTTAGCACATCCTCATCCTCTTCCACATCATTCGCGGACTCACCAATCACTACCACTTTCTCATCACCATCTTTCACTTTTTCATCTTTCGGAGTATTATTTTCCTTGTTCTCCATTTGCAAAGGCGTAACGGTCTCCTGCGTTTCGAGCGCTCTTTTTCGCTTTCGTCGTTGACATTTGTTCAAAACGGCCGTTTTAAGTGCCTCCATTCGTAAATTTTCGAGTTCTGCGTCATCAATTCTATCTGAAGTTTCTTCGTTTTTGTCTTGTGGAGGCACTTCGAGCTCCGGTTCGGGCGGGGCAGCAGCAGGCTCGCTGCTGGCTGCCAGACCGCCCATCGCTTTAAGCCGCGTTTCTAGTGTGTTCTTGTGGCCCCCCTCGATACCGCTAATATGAATGGCTTGATTCAATTTGCCTTTGAGATCATGGTTTGGAGTCTCACTATCGGAACTGTCAGATGAAATACGTATTTTTTTACGTCTTTTTTGCTTAATTTTCGATTTGCGATGCAATGATTTTCTTTTATATCTTATCTGTTTCTCGATTTCGCTATCGCTACTTAAAGAAAGTGCACGTAAACATTCGTTAGTTGTAGCTAACTTACCAAAGGCTGTCTCGATGATGGAATTATCGGAAATATCTTCGAAATCATCATCAACTATTTCGCCTTCTTCTAATTGATCACTTGCTGGGTTCTCACCCATTTTAACGGTTTTACGTAATTTATATTATATTTTTTATTGCGAATGGAATATCGCAGATGGAGAAATATGTCAATGAAAGACAAAAGGTCGGGTGAGAGACGAAACGTCACCAACGTTACAGAACGAAAGTTACTAGACTTGTAAAGGGCAAATGTGAAAAACACAACTACAAAATACACCAAACAATTGTATTTTAATGCACTACATTTACAATTAAATCATTAATTAATTTAAAATATATAATATCATGTTTATTTAATAAACTGGCTCTGGTTGTTGCGTTAATAACAGCCCAAACCGTTTCTTGATCGTAATTCGTTGTCTCGAATATTTATCCTCGGGTGAAAAACGGGCTGCAACAAAATGACAGTATTTTAGTATTTCAAAGAGAGTCATATTATTTATGTCTCACAAATAATGAGTTATGGGGGAGCTGAAGTAGATTTCGGCATATGGGAAATAATGTAAAACGGGGCACGTGTTTTACGGAAAACCCTTGGTCCGATCATAACAATTTTTCGTATATATAATCTACGGAAAAAACTTTATAGGTCTGCTTTTTAGTTCTTTGAAAAAATTGTATTTGAACATACTTTTTAAGTTTTACAATTCCTGAACTTTTGAGTGTTTTTATTATTTATGGCTTGTAAGGAAAATTTCCAAATTTTACTTACACACGTCTATTTTTTAATTTACTCTGGAGTAGACATGTTTTTGAAAAATGAAAATCGGATAATAAATAAACTCTAAAACACATGCCGAAAAAACAGATTCGGAAATGTTTTTCAAGCTGAGTAATTTTCTGGTTTACTGGGGATGAGAGCAGGTATACGCCTAGAGAGCTTAACGCCATCACTCATAGACAAAGGGATTAAAGTGAAGAGGCCAATTGTGTTATGATTCAGGAGATATTAATCGGCAACTGAAAATTTTACATTTAGTTTAGTTGCTGTATTTGTAGCAATATACAAGTGGTTACAGTTTGTGGTAATTTTATCAATCTGAAAATGTATCTGTTCATTAGAATACTGCATTTACATAAACAGGTATGTACGTTAGTACGTATTTCACAAGTTAAATACCCATACAGTAGAAACTTAAAAATCATAAAAAGTTCTAACAAGATTTGTTTCTTTTAATAGTATAGATTGATTATATCTTTTATGTTTATTTCTAACTCAGGGGAAAGATTTTATGACTCACACGTTACATCTTTCGAGTAAAATAGAAACAGATTTTGTATTTTGGAAATATACATTTTTACAAAAAAAAATTTAAAATGATTTCTTGTTTGAGAGTCGTCATTGTTATTTTCTTCAACAGGAACTCCATAGTTGGTGGAAAACACTTTTTAAATTTTAATCGCCACACTCGTATTATATTTTAAAATACATTATTTGGTAAAAAATCTAGCATAATCAAAGGTTTATGTTCATATACCTATAGCTGTAGAAACTTTCAAAAATTTTCACTCTTCAAAAAAAAAAAAAGTTGCCATTTAAAAACATGTCAATGACAATATAATTTAAAACAAAAGACAATCAACATACAATTTTTATGTAGCGGTGTACAGTTGCAGCCCCCCAAAAGTGCACGATTTTTCGTTGTCATGGGATTTTTTGAATTTTTAAATTAATGTAAGTCTGGCTATTACCAGTGACGTAGCACATTTGAATAAACAAAATGTCAAATTTGACAAACTTTGTTATTCGAACGCCCATGATTTGAACATATATACAGGGTGTCTCAGAAATAAGTACATTAATTTTAACCAGTAACAGAACTCGTGAAACGGAACAACTTTTTTATCTCGCATTTTTTCGAAAACTCAAGTCGAATTTCGAATTTTCCCACCCATATATTCACGAGCCGTCTATGTTCACCTTAAATAATAACTTAAATAATAGCAACACTACAACAATGAAGAAGGTACCGTAGCAACCGTTTTGACACTGACAATCATTTTTATGTCAATGTTTTTATTAAACGTTGTCTCTTTAAAGTTTGTTTGGCACAGATTTCTAATTTATAGACGAAATGTGTTGAAATGGCTTTGTTTTCAAATCTGGAGTGCACCGATATCGTTTTAACGTACGGTGAAGCTCGGGGAAACGGCACTCGCGCCCAACGAATTTTTTCACAAAACCTCCCAAATCGTCTGCCAAATGTGCGCAGTTTTAAGAACGTTGCAGCATTTTCGAGAGTACGGATCTTGTAAACCTGCACCTCAGGATCGGGGTAAGTTACGTAGTAATAGAATTGCTAATATTGAAGAGGCTGTTTTGAAGAGTGTCGAAGCTCGACCGGGCACTAGCACGTATCACTGTCTAGTGTGATGTATCGGAGAGTAGTATTTGGAGGATACTCAGACAACAAATGTACCCCTTTCAGGACCAGAAAGTTCAGTTATTGAAATTAACAGACTTACCACGTAGGCAAAACTTTTGTGAGTGGGTTAATAGAAAAATAAACGAACAAGCAAATTTTGTATCTCTTATACCATCAACTGATGAGGTCGGTTACACGAGGGAATGTGTTCAATACCCACATTTGGGCCGATGAAATTCCGTACGCCATTAGGGAGCAGGATTTTCAATTTCTCTCTAAATGTTTGTCACATTGACAAGATTAGGAAAATACGTATCCTAGTAACTGTTTTTGACCATAAATTATTAATTCTAATAATTATTAGTGTCCATGGGTGACTGAGGATCCATGGGCGGGTAACCTTAATTGGGGTATAACTTTAACAATTTTTAACTTGATAATTAAAAAGTTCTTGACAAAACTCTACTAAAAAAAGTTGGTGAGTTCAATGAGCTCTATAACTGATTAAAATTAATGTACTCATTTCTGAGACACCTGTATATATTTACAAAAGAGAAAATTGTCGTGTACTTTTGGAAGGCCGCAACTGTACATGTTGAAAATATTTAGAAAATCGAACTTAAAAATTTAAATATACATACCTATCAAAATTAAATGCAAACAATTTTACTTTAATGTTATTTTTTCAAGCGAATGCCTCGTTTTACCATAAAATGGACAAAAAGAGTAAATAAGGAACATGTATATTATTACCAAATGCAAGGCCATTTGCACATAACGAAAGGAAATCTTGTATTTTTGCCATTTGGAAGGGGTTAAAATTACATACGTTCCATATAACCAGGAATTTTGTAAAAAAATGGTTCTAAAACTCCAAAAATGTTATTATGGATGCGTTCTTCCGGAACTTGTTGATCCTAGGAGACGTAGAGGATTATCTATTCGATATCCTGATTATATTTTAAAAGCACACAGAGAAAAAAAATCACTAAAAGTTAAAAAACAACTTTAATTTTAAGTTTAATAAAACCGATGGTTATTTTTTTGTTGTATTAATTCGTTATTATTAATTTTATAAATTTGACATCTTTTTAAATTATCATTCTCTGTTTTTCGAAAATCAGCTTCGAGCAAATTTTTTATAATCTATGTATCTGTCTATCTATAAGCCTGTCTGTCCAATTTTGAGCGTATGCCTCCCCTTCATTCTTACATACTTTTTTATGTATTTATTACTATAAATTATACTCCTATTGCATACTATTTATGTATAGATTATTTGCTCGTTTTGAAAATATTTAATACACTTACTAAATCTGACACCTCTAAAATGGTAGTTTCATTGTCTGTTATTCTTCTGGTTTATATTGATCAACATGATGCCTTTCTTAATACAAAAAAAAAAACGTGAAGATTATTTAGATAATTGTAAAATTTACCTGCAAAATAGAAAATAAACATATTCGACCTGCAACAATCAGAGGACGGACGACCGTCCTCAGGTAATTTATTCAGATAAGGAATTAGTATATCGCCCATCCAAGTAGAGATTTTCGGTGCTAGTAATCCACACCGACAAAATATTTTACTTCAGCTCCCCCTTAACGTGAATACTGTACTACTGTACTAATTGAAAAAATATAAAAATTAGGTTACCAGGATGCGCCGAAACAGTTGGTTTTCCCGAGGGGTCATTTTTCTGCAAATAAAGTTTATGTGAAGGGATTAATGAATTCAAGTAAGGCAGTACGACATACATTTAAGGTGTAGACTCTGTTACCATCCTGATCCAAGTAATACATTAAATACATCTTATACAATTTTCACAGGAGTTGTAATAGTTGTATTTTTGAGAAACAGTACTTTTCCACCGTTTCCAAATCTAGTTTTCGAGCAGCAACGGAAAAACGAAAAAAGACGACAGAATGAAAACAACACCAACACGTGCCTAAAATGTCAAATAATGCCAACTTTAACTCAAAAATTTTACCAACTTTGTCTTGAGTGTGGCAACCACAGAACAATCAACTGGCAAGCAGAACGAAAAGTATCATGGGTGGAGCTTCAGATCAATTCAGATACGCACAAAGACTTCAAATATATATAGACTGGCTGTCACCCTAAATTCTATTGTATTTCGTGAAGCAGTTCTGTCAACAGAAATCGCCGCCATTGCTGTTACTTTTCTGTCACTAATAACACCGCAACAACCCATACCCATAACCTATTTCTTTCTTATGTATCACTTTCAGTTGTGACGTGGATGTGATCACAGTTTCTTTGGTTCTTTTGATCGTGTTTCCGTGCATTTAAGATTCAGCAATTATAGTATTGTTGAAGTTAGGCGTTTCTAATTTGCAGACCACAGTTTATCTTGCAGACTGGGGGTTAAAAATGCTCCAATCAAGTTGAAACTCAACAGTTGCTTATTTCTCAATACGAAGATTATTAACACAAAATTTCAACCCGATCGGAGAAACCGTTAAAAACTACCCCCAAAACAACCTTGCAGACTGGCACTTAAAAATACTCTAATCAGGTTAAATTTTGACATTCGCTAGTTTTTCAATACGAGGATTATTGATGCAAAATTTCAGCCCATTCCGAGAAACCCTCAAAAATCACCCCCAAAACAACCTTGCAGACTGGGGGTTAAAAATGCTCCAATCAAGTTAAAACTCGATATTTGCTTATTTCTCAATACGAAGATTGTTAATATAAAATTTCAACCCGTTCGGAGAAACCGTTACAAACTACCCTAAAACAACCTTGCAGACTAGGGCTTAAAAATACTCCAATCAATTCAAAATTTGACATTCGCTAGTTTTTCAATACTAGGATTATTGATGCAAAATTTCACCCCATTCGGAGAAACCCTCAAAAATCATCCCCAAAACAACCTTGCAGATTGGGGGTAAAAAATGCTTCAATCGATATTTGCTTATCTCTCAATACGAAGATTATTGACACAAAATTTCAACCCGTTCGGAGAAACCGTTAAAAACTACCCCCAAAACAACCTTGCAGACTGGGGCTTAAAAATACTCTGATCAAGTTAAACTTTGACAATCCCTAGTTTTTCAATACGAGGATTATTGATGCAAAATTTCAGCCCATTCGGAGAAACCCTCAAAAATCACCCCTAAAACAACCTTGCAGACTGGGGGTTAAAAATGCTCCAATCTAGTTAAAACTCGATATTTGCTTATTTCTCAATACGAAGATTGTTAATACAAAATTTCAACCCGTTCGGAGAAACCGTTACAAACTACCCCTAAAACAACCTTGCAGACTAGGGGTAAAAAATGCTTCAATCAAATCAAAACTCGATATTTGCTTATTTCTCAATACGAAGATTATTGACACAAAATTTCAACCCGTTCGGAGAAACCGTTAAAAACTACCCCCAAAACAATCTTGCAGACTGGGGCTTAAAAATACTCTGATCAAGTTAAACTTTGACAATCCCTAGTTTTTCAATACGAGGATTATTGATGCAAAATTTCAGCCCATTCGGAGAAACCCTCAAAAATCACCCCTAAAACAACCTTGCAGACTGGGGGTTAAAAATGCTCCAATCTAGTTAAAACTCGATATTTGCTTATTTCTCAATACGAAGATTGTTAATACAAAATTTCAACCTGTTCGGAGAAACCGTTAAAAACTACCCCTAAAACAACCTTGCAGACTAGGGCTTAAAAATACTCTACTCAAGTCAAAATTTGACATTAATTTATTTTTTTATTATTTTATTGTTAATTATTAATTAATTCATATTTAAATTTAAAAAATATATAAATTACGAATACATATAGGAGTATTTGTTACAGATACGTGAATTGTGATAATTTGAGTTCATGTTTATCGCTGTTAGATAATTGTTGCTACTATGTAAGAATGCATAAGTTGCGCATTTTTTCGTCCAATCTCTCATTTTTTGTGCGTTTTTACACGTCATTTTTGCTGTTAACTTGGTTCATTCAGTACATACTATATGCTGGTTTTGAGTTCTTTGAGATATAATTAAACTTTCATTATCAGTCAAAAAATACAAAGTTAGTGGTGTCCAAAAGAGAAAATTTAAAATTCAGAGGAAACAAAATCTTAAAGATATTTTAAAGAAAATTAGAGACATTTTTAATTTCCGAGAAAACTAACATAAAAAAAAACGTTTTGAGAAAAAATTTAAATTAATAATAGGAAGCTCAAACTTAATTTTATTTGAATTTCAAAACGAACCCAGAAATATGCTTAATTTCTTAATTAATTATTATTAATGGGAAAACAAATAAAGATTCGTTATATTCAATACGACGCAAAATTGTCATCATATGTAGGTCTTACAGCCTTTGGATGGTGTCCACGTCCATTTCTCTAACTGTCTGGTAAATTGTTCTTTTTAATTGTTCTTCTAAATTGGCTTCCCAGCCGTTGTTGTAAACCTTTCTACTTAGTATTCCCCAAATTTTGTTTTCGATTGTTCGCACTGGGGGCACTATGGGGGGATTACCTTTTCTTAGGTACAAAACTTATATTATTGCTTTCTAACCAATCCCTGGACGTTCTAGTATAATGGCAACTTGCTAAATTTAGCCAAAATATTACATCGTCGTTATTATGGTGTTCCCATATACAGTGCCGAAACCAGCTATAGGCTGAGTAGGCCCTTGCCTAGGGGCGCCAACGACAAGGGGCGCCAAATTCGTCCAAAAATTATGTTCTATAGTTTTGGAAATTTCATTGTACCTTATAAAATTTTATTGGCAATAACGAGATGGACAGTAGTACAATAGCAAGAGATATTTACAACTTAAGTTGTCGCGTGCCGATAATTCCCAGATGTTAGAAAAACGAGAATAATCCAGGTCCGGGCAGGGACCATCTTTACTTATGAACAGAAATGACCATTATTTTATGAGTACAACTACCTGGCAAATGCTCTAAACAAATTCGAGTGAACTGGTGTGAGCCATAAATATTTCTTACTATTGTACTACTGTCCGCCTCGTTATCGTCAATAAAATTTTATAGGGTAGAATGAAATTTCCAAAACTATACCAAGAATTATGTCATATTAATCTTTTTTATTTTGACGGGAACTCAGAAACATGTAGCCGGTGCGACAGGTTTTTTAATGTTGATTTTATTTTGAACTTATATAATATTTATACATATTATATACCTATATGTATAAACTCGATTTTTTTTCTTTTTTATATTTGATCATAGTATCTGCTTTGCGTACTTATTAAAAAGTATAAATAAAACTGTTCTGTAAAATTGCACTTTTATGCGTAGAGGAGGGGCGCCGAACGCAAGGTTCGCCTATACCTAAATATTCTTTCGTTTCGGCACTGTCCATATATTGTTATGTATTGACCGCGTCACCTTTAGTACGGCCAATGAATTGTGCTGAAACGCCGGCCGGAGATATAGCCCATGAAACCAAAATTTTATCTTCAAATTTTGCCTTCGACTTAAATTTTACTTTTAATTTCTTCTATATTGTTTGTATAAAATCCATCGTTACCTTCCATCTCTGAATGGGCAAATGTAAAATATTTTTCATCGCCTAGCACAACCACACGATTGTCCAGAAAATGATGAATTCTCAATAGCCGGCAACATCTAAGAATTCTCTCTAACTGCGATGCTGTATGTTTTGAACATATAGCTCTTTTGCTGTATTTTAAGTTGTTTTTGCCTATTTCTCTAGAAACTATTATATAGGAACTCTAAACAATCGAGCCAATCTTCTTGTTGATGTTCCAGGCTCTTGTCTTTCTTCTTAATCTTTCTAAACTTATTGTGGTATTGCTACCTCGCAGTCTTTAATTGTTCTGTATATAGTTGCGCGTGTAATATATTTGGTCCAAAATATATTCACAATTTCACTTTTAGATGCTTGGGTAACTAACTGGTATATGGCTCTTTGCAACTCTATTTTGTATGACATTGTTTAAGCGTTAATTGACATAAATCTATGACATAAATTGTATAACATGGGAAATAAGAAAGTTTGTTTGGTTACGCTGTTGCAAATGTAACTTGATTCGATTGCATTTTAAGTTCAAAAAAAGATAGGAGTATATGTAAATTTTTCTCAAAACTCTTTTACGTACTAGCGGTAAAAGTGACATAGAATTGGAAAATCTTAGTAAAAGTAAAGACGACGACAGTTAAGACTAATCTAGTTGAGTGCATGTATTTAGGGAAATTTTAGTTGTATTGATAAATTAAATTCTTAGATGGAAATAACGATATAGATATGAAAATTCGAGAAAAAAAATATAGAATTTGAAAATATACATGATTTTAATGGCACTACATACCTTATTTATAAACTGTTGACACATGATGTACAAATTAACAAAAAAAAAGAAGACAAATAAACCCAAAATTTAATTTAATTTAACAAAATAACAGAAACAGACCAACTAGGATATTTTCAAAATTAAAATAATAAAGGAGGCTGTTGTTGTCAACAGTGTTTTTCATCATTTGATTATAAGTTTGGCAGTTAATAAACGTTTTCACGCGAAAATAATGCCGTTAACTCTTACAGACGTCTCCCAAATTGTCGCTCTGTTTCTGTTATTTTGTTAAATTAAATTTAATTCTGCGTTTATTTGTCTTCTTTTTTGTTGCTAATTTATACACCATGTGTCAACAGTGAATGGTTCTTTAATAAAACAACGATCACTAGTTAAATTAACAATTTCTAAAGTTTGGTTTCGCGAAATTTTACAGTGTGGCAGGTTTTTTGCCGGTCAGTGTATGTACATTAAAATACAGTTATAAAAGGTAACAAAACAATATTTTTCATAATTAACAATGCATATTAAGATCATTAGGTGATTAATTATTGTAGGAATTAGCTCGGTTTGCGCAAAGGTGGAGATAACACAACGACCGTAGCAACGAATCTTAACCAATTAAAAACTCAAG